AGGGTGGAAATCATACAGCTTTCCAGATGTTTCTGGGTTCCACCTCCCAGCATTTTTCATCATCAGCTTTGCTGACTAGAGCTACTGAAAACTGGTGGCCAGCATCTGGTGAACTGCTTTATTCCTATGCCTGAGTTAGCACTTTACTCAGAAGGGCACAAGTGTCTGATGTGTAAATTCATTATTTAAATTAGATTGCAGTGTGGATCAGTCTGGAGTGTTTTGAGAACAAAAGGCCTTTGTATTATGTTCACAACAAAATTAACTGTTGAGAAAGAGTCACTGGTAAATGTCTCTCTCTATGAGCTTCATCTACACTGCCTCATAATGCAGTTCAATGCAGTTAAACTGCATTATGAAATTGCATTATATGGCAGTGTAAATGGAGCTCGTGTTATCTAAGAATCCTGATCTTTCACACAAAGGCTGTATATCTAGGGAAATGGTGTGTGAAAGTTTCCAAAGTCTGAACCAGGATGGTTAACTTCTGATAGCCCAGAGGCCATTTTTGTCCTATTCTGGACCTTTGACTCACTCTAAAAATAGTTCCCCAAACAGAAGGTTTTACACTCCTGATGTCACAGAAAAAAACACAGCTGGCTTTAAAAAATAATTTCAACACCTCAGTGCCATGTTTTCTGATTAGGAACACACGCCCCATTTTCTAGAAAGTGACCAGAATATTACTTTAGGCTCAACAACTGATGTGTCCCCTTGTTTTGGCAAGCACATCCTGGATCAGCAGTACCTCCCCAGCAATTTCTTTTAGGATAGAACTGAGGCATACCTACTAGTTGCAATGTGCATGGGTGTGTTGCTTCCTTTCCTTCTGGCATACATAACCTGTTTGTTGACAACTTGTAGCATGACAGGTTTGCAAGGCTTCAGGGATCACCTAATACATATGTGCTTAACATGTCCAAAACATGCACCACCTTTTTGGCTTTCTGTTCTTTAATCATTCACTTTTATCCAGGTTCAAAATATGAATGTATACAGCTAATGAGTCATAGGAATAGAATAGGTTTTACTCATACATTGCTTTGAAATACTCAAGTATTCTGATGGCAAAAAGAAGGGATTAAATACAATCTGGCCTCCATATTTGCAAGTCGGACTTCCAGTGGAAATTGGCTATAGAGTTATGCTGGAGTTGTTCTGGAGTCATGTGCCCCCTAAGCTCAGTGAACTTGAAAGGCTGCCTAAATTCTGGTTTGATGTGTTTAGACAAATTAAACCCTTCCTTTCCATACAAGTTGACCAGGCTGAAGAGCTGAGAAAGTAGAGTAACATTTAATTAGGAATATACAGTATATTGTAGAACATAGGCCTTATAAAATCTATGAGTACACATTGAATACATTCCTTTCTAATGTTTTGTGGAGATGTGTGCTAAGAATCTGCTCTTTGAAAAAAAACCCATGCTTGGGTGAACACAGCTGGTGTGGGATATGTTTGGATGAGCAACTCTCTTTTTAATGCTTTAATCTTGCTTTATGCATGGCAGGCCAAGTTGTCACTCTTTCCACAAACAAAAAAGCCTATATACCATTCCTTCAATTTTAAAGGCTATAGAAATGTAGGTGGGAAGCACGCAGCCCTTAGTTGCTTGCAACTTCTAGAGTTCCTCAACATTGGCTATACTAGCTAAGCCTGCTGGGAACTGCAGTTCAAAAAGGGCCATATGATTTCCACCCAGCTCTAAAATAATTGGACAACTGTCTTTTTCAGCATATACTACACTTGAACATATTTTTGCAATATTTTCTTTCAAATATGTGGGCTTTAGAGAAGTTAAGGAGCTTAAAGCATTTTGTTTCATGATATCACTGTAAGTATAATTTTGATTCTAAGCAAGGAAGGCCATTATTAGTAACTCCTCTGCCTGTTGGTGGAGAGGCTAGAGGAATGGGACTACAGTAATCTTTTCTTACTGGAAGAATGCTAAGAACCATCAGTAAATAAGGTTGTATTCATTATCCTGTTATTCTTATAATTTTGCAAGCAACAGAATGTATGACAACAGAATGTTATTTAGCAGTCAGTGGTATTTGTATAGACAAGCATGGAGGCTTATAATTCCTGTTGTGAAGTATTACTCACTCAGCAGACACTCACTACCTTCCATTATAAAATATTACTTTTTGTTTTAGTTTTCATGATAAATACAGTCTAGACTACTTTGAAATTTATATATTTGAAAAATATCCCTTCTGCTTGACTCTTTGCAACTATGAATCTGTATTGAAATACTAAAATGGAGAATACTTGTTTTGAGAGAAAATGAACAGGCAGATGCCAACTGCAGAAGAAATTAAAAAATCCTTAAAGGCTTTGTTCTGTTATGTACTCAAGAAGAGCTTTCTCGTGACTCTGTGATACTACTTATATGAAAGTAATTACTCCTGAAATTATAGTCTCTCCCTTTCCTACAGCATTAAAGATGATGCACATGTAAGATTGTTTCCTTTTAAATTAAAAACCCTTCCTGCTTGATAGTGTATATGTGTATTTACAAAATGTATATCCCATTTTTTCTGTATCTAGTAGTGGTAATACTATAGTTACTACTTGTAAGAGTATCCAGAAATCCTGTAACTGTTAACACTGAAAACTAACATACACTCAGATATTTTTTTTAAAATCACGGCCCATGGAGTGGCACAATTGGGTGTAATGACATTTCACACTGAATCTCAACACAGGTTTTTTTCAACCACGTTCACTATAGATGTTAAACAGCACAAGGGATAGAATAGAGGTTTGTGAACATAAGCCAAGATGTATGATATTGGCTGTAAATGACTCCCATCACAGAAAAAAGTCATTTTGTGCATTACCACCAGCTATTCTACAGTAACCGATAATATAGATGCTCCTAATGGATAGATAGAATTCAATTGGGAGATATTTTATTATAGCTTATCTTCAAGTTGCAAAGTGATAATAGTCAGGATTTTTTACTTATACTTACTTCTACAAACCAGGGGAGATGGTACAGTAATAGGAATCACTTGGCCCAATCAGGGTCACATCTAAAACACATAACTTCCATTTGAACCTGAACTTCGATAGTAAAAATTAGTGTCTAGTTCTCAATTAGTGGGGCAAGGAAGTTTCTACTATCTTCAAGAAAGGTGAGGTGAATTCGGTTTGACTGACTTTTCTATCAGAAATATCTGACTGTGAACTTTAGCTACTTCTGGAACAAACATAAGACTTTTTCAAAGCAGGGGCAACATATTTATTGTGTTACATGAGGGCTTTTTAAAGCAGCAAATGTTGTCTCAGTGAAAATGAAAATGACACTATGTAAGAAAATTAGAAAAAAAATCTGTTTCTGGTTTGAAAGTGTTATTTCCTGTTTAATTGTGTGGTACTTACTTTGAAAGGAGTTGTTATACTCTAGAAACTTCATTTTTGTGGCTGCCACAAACTACTGGTATGTTGAATTGATTGAGACTCTATGACAGGCAGTCTCAAACTGCTGCCCTCCAGCTGTTCGGGCTTTTAACTCCCAGAATTCCTGACAATTGAAAAAGTTTGTTAGGGCTTCTGGGAGTTGGAGGCCCAAACAGCTGGAGGGCTGCAGTTCGAGGACGCCTGCTCTATGAGATATTCATTGAAAAACTATGGCAAAATGTGCTGTGGTATGTCCTGCAAAAACAACATTTTTGCAATTTAATGAATGTCTTTCATATTTTTAGGATAAAACCAATTTGGAAATGACATGTATAACCCAGGAACAAAATTCATGTTATATGGTGTAATAAATGAAATAACATGCTGGGTAAAGTTAAAATGTGAGCATTCTGTGTAGAATGGGTGTTGGAATGCAGTGCCCAGCATCCTTAGCCAGTAAAGCCAGTGATACAGAATGCTGAGAGTTGCGTTCCCAACAACATTTGAAGGGAGACATAGTTCTCAAGCCTGCTTTAGAGTGTAATTGAACATAATCAGCTTACAGGCCAGGCAGTAATGTGATAACCATTCCCAGTATCTAATCCTTTCAAGGTTTGCTCTGTCTGGATTTGGTGTTTCCATAGACTCACCAGGCTAATCTTGATTGCTTTGTAACAGATTTTGTTTACTCTCCCGTCCCCACCCCTATCTTCTTGCCTCTTCTGTGAGGTTTGTGGATTCATATGTGAAATATGCATTGCATGCAGAGATTATTGGACGAGAACTGAATCTGCTACCAATTGTGCTTGTCATATGAGAGGGAAATCATTCCTGTTTTGCCCAATAATTCACATTTTAAAAGTTTGTTATGTTCCCCACAGTTGCATTAACTTTTCAATGACACATGATCTGGACATTTCTTTGTTCTTGCTCACCAGTGTTCATACAGGCACTTAAAGAGTGTAATAGTTTACAGTAAAAATTTGCTCCTTCTCTGCTCAGTAGCCAAATACAATTGGAAACGGTTTGAGCAGATCTCGTACAATATTATTTTGTGCAAATAAAAGCATGGTTTCCTGAACGATATAAATATGTTATTTTTATAGGTATTGCTAGCACAGAGACTGGTGTTAATATTTATGAAATTGATATGAATTGGTTCTCAGTGGGTAAATTTGTTACTAGGGCAGTAACTGTACAAACCGGATCTAACCTTCAAAAACAAAAAGATGTGACATTGATACAGATATGGGCTCATTTTAATAGCTATATTTTTTCAGCTGTTTACTGATTGTTCAGATTGATTATTCTTTAAATACTTTAAGTGCAAATCAGATTTATAAGTTTTTCCAACTGTGTAAAGAAAATTGCACCACTGATTGAGCAAAGCATGCTTGATTTCAAACACACATAGGCTTGGGTTCAGCTCTTAGAAAGATGGGTGGGCTTAAATTCACCCTTCCCACCATAGTATCCTGCGCTGTCTCAAAAGGTATCCAGTAGTAAATGTGAAGCATCTGTGGCAGGCTGCCAGAAGATGGTCTTGATTTATTAGCCTCATAATTAATTAGCTACGTTTTCTGTTTTTTTCTTTTTAGTACTGGATGAATGAATACACATCTTCTCTTGGGATTGGAGTTTTTCATTCAGGAATAGAGATATATGGCAGAGGTATGTAACACAATTTAACTTTATATGATAGTTGGAGGGATATACAGTCAACCCTCCAAATTGAAAGGGATTGAGGGTCCAGAAACTTCATGGAAATCACTGAAACTATGAATACAGTGGAAGTGGAGGCAAGACTCCAGAGCAAACCTCAGGCTTGCCCAGTGTGTTCAAACATGAAGCATGCAGGTTGCTGCTGCCACACACACACTGCCCAGGACCATATTCTCATTCACAACGCAGCCCAGCTTCAGGAACTGAGGGACAAGTGTTTGCTGCTGCACACTTCCTGAAGCTGGGGCTGTCTCTCTCAGGCTCTCCATGTCAAGAGTGACCCACGATTTTCCTAGCTTCAGGAACTGGGAGCTTACTCCATGTCAAGAGAGCCTGAAAAAAGTACCATCCCATCCACACTCTGCTGTTGCTTCTTTCAGCATCTCCCAGCATGGACTAAGGTCTCAGATTCTGGGAGCTTACTCCATGCTGGGAGGGCCCGGGTGGAGTGGCTGTCTCCATGGCCACGCAGCTCCCAAAGCTAGGGCTTCTGTAAGAATATCCCATTTCCTAGCAATCTGAATCCTGTTTCTCCCCCTCCCCTCCCCTCCTGTCAAGAACTTTTTCCTCTTGTTTCTCTTTGCCACTATGCAATAGTCCCCCCTCTGCCAGCTTTGCAGTATCCTTCCATCTTTCCCTTCTCTGAATCTGAGGTTAGCAGCAGCGATTAGAAGGAGAGTACTAATCTCCCACTTCTTCGGGGGGAGGAGCTTATTGCTTCCATCTTCTCTCCTGCCCACCAAGATACCTCACAATTAATTGCCTATCATCCTACCACAGCTTTCACCTTGAATTTAAGGGCAGGGGGGTAAATAAGTGAGTAGGGAAAGAGGCAGATTGTTGGGAAAGGACATTATTTTCAGTCTAATCACTAGTGGGGTGGTTAGTGAGAGAGTGTGGGAAAGAGGAATACTAAGGAGATATAAATTTACAACATGTTGAGAATTATGACTAAAAAGTAATCTTTTAAGCATGCCTGTTAAAATTATGAAGATTGGAAAATTGACTTCCAAGTAATCTTAAACATTGCACATGACACCACTTTTTTGTCTTTCAGAATTTGCTTATGGTGGCCACCCATACCCCTTTTCAGGAATATTTGAAATTTCTCCAGGAAATGCATCCGAATTGGGAGAAACGTTTAAATTTAAGTAAGCAGTTTTTGGTTATTAAATTCTGAATCCAAATGATACAAATTTCAGTGACATCTGTTGACCATGACCTGTTCCTGTTAATTTTAAATAATATGTTTTGATCCACCAATCTTTTTTTAATGAAAAAATCTCTAATCTCTATATACAACGATTAAATGTTGTTTGATTGGCTAGAATGGAATCCTGTTCTTTCTCAGATCAAGGCATTGTTTACTGCAGACGCATTGCTGCAAACTGACACCAAAAGCATTTCTCCTCCCAGTGCCAATGTTGCTAAAAGACTTCCAGTTGGAAAGATGAGGATTTAAAATTAGATAGGCTTCTTTTATCAATGATTTTATTAATTGAGATATGTCTGCATTTTAATAACTCTGAGTGGCTTGTGAAGTAAGAGCAAAGGCAAAGTAAGAACAGCTTCATTTTTTCTGCTTTATTTCAGAGAAGCCGTTGTTCTTGGAAGTACAGACTTCATGGAGGAGGATATAGAAAAAATTATAGAAGAACTTGGAAAAGAATTTAAAGGAAACGCCTATCACTTAATGCACAAAAACTGTAATCACTTTTCTTCAGCTTTATCAGAGGCAAGTATGATTTGTATGGCGTGAAATTATATTGGCCATTACTTTTTTATATATATATATATATATATATATATATATATATATATATATATATATATAACGGGTATTGTTACAGCTATAGTCTCATATTTAATTTGGTAATGGAAACAAATTTCATGTGAGCCACAAGAGAGGAAATCCTTGAGCATTTAACCTAGTCAGGTCATGAGTTACTATAGGAGCTGAGTCAATTAGCCTTTTTTAAGTGTAGTCAAAGACCAGTCCAGTAATTATAATTCATATAATTTGAAAATAATATACAAAACTATGTTTTGTAAAGCAGTGCCTTTCATGTTCCTTGATTCATGTTTGGGCGCTGCGTTTGGTGGTCTCTACGTAGACTTGTCCACAGCTGCATGGTATACGGTAGACTCCTGCAGAAGTCTACTGTATACCATGCAGCTGTKGACAAGTTTTAAATTCAAGAGAGAGTGAAATAATAGCCCACATAAGAAGCAGAATCTACTGTATCCACTATCTGTGATCTTCAGATTCATGGCCCCAGCCATCCTTCCTTCTGAGTTACTATATGAGAAACTCCTACCAGGATCCCAAAGGAAAGTGCCGGGTAAACAAATTTATCTCAGAAGGGGAGGTTGGAGGAAAGCTGCTCCCAGGAATATCTATAGAGGTGGACCATATCCCTGCAGTGACATTCAACGCTCTTCCTCTGTAAAGTGGTTGTGCTCACCAAGATGGTGCTCCCACTCTTCTGTTCAGGAACCCTTACCACTGGGCCATTCCAATACCAGCTAGGAGTATGAGAGTCAGTCATATTCTCGACCACAGACTAGGAGAAGATACTTAATTTGTAACAGTCATCAAGATGAGTACTTCCAGACAGTACTTTTCTCCTGAGATGAACTACAGCTTTACAGACTGCATCAAGACTAGAGCATACACAGAGAGACTAGATCTCCTTGTTTGATGGCTGGTACTATTACTCACCACTCCCAGAGCAGGGGTCCTCTTTCTCTCATTGGTGATGGGATCACTCCAGAAGCTGGCTCATCTGGGAGGCTATATAAGCATTGACGCTGCTTTAGATTACCTTGGTGGCTTCGCCTAGATCACATCTCAACTCACCTAGCCTAATCTTTGGATTTTTAAAATCTTTTAGTGGATCAATTAAGGGCCAACCTAGGGTAACATTTACAGTTTCCATTTCATGCATCTGACATCAACAATACATATTGCCTGACATTGATTCTTTCCACCATAGCAATCCAATAGATCATCGTACCAACTACATAGTGTCCGTGCCTGCTCATCACCTAGTTGAACATCAAAGCCTTCTTGTCAGCAGATGTCTCTGGTTACAAGGCTGACCCGTCTTTCACCAACCTAGTACAAATCTGCTCTTCCTACTCAGATGTCTTGCTTGAAGACCAAACATTTTCATTGATAGAGAATTATTGAGTACACTCTGATTTTCTGACTAGATGACCAAGTATCCTTATATTACCTGTAAGCAAGACCTTCCTCCTGGTAATGCCTGGTCTTCTCAGTGACAAAGATTCTGGCCTGTGTTTTGCCCTTCCCATTTGATTATGAGTGTAGTGAATTCTTTTTGGGAGAAACCACCCTCCCTTCAGGTGATGTCTTGATGACTGGTAAACTTATAGAATGTTTCTTATAGAATAGTGCCTGCAACTTTCTGCTTTGACGCCCTGGGGTCAATTCAACAATTGCAGCCTCCTCATCAAGAAAAATAAGTTAATTGGCTTGACTTGAAAAGGCAGGAAACTGGATGACCTGAGGTTAAAGGCTTATGTCTTGGCAGCCATTTTTGTGAAGAAACAATCTATCGAACATACCTCGGCTTTTATCAGATATGGGTCAAAGCTTCCACTCCACTGTCTCAAGACAAGAAAGAAGTAATCATATATATATACACACACACACACACATATATACACATATGCACACATGCATGCAGAGATGGGTAACATGACTTGAGACTAAATTACTTCAGCCAAACATGCTGAAAAATATGCTTCTAGGGATCTGATGCATGGTATAGCAATCAAGAGGACATTATGATTTTAGTCTTAGTCTTCAAAGCAAAGAATGTTGCTGTAAGGATTCTGACAGAAAGCATTATTGCAGAATGACAAGCGTCCATGGACAATTTGTGAATACTTGGAATTATAAAGGATGGCTCCAGGATATAATTCCATGTTATGCACTCATATAATCTCTGGATCATGTTTCAGTGGAGTATCTTAGTTGAGCTCATCAGGGCTGCAACTTGGACACATTCATTCAGCCTTTCAGACTGAGTTGCTAGAGCACGGAGAGATGCGTATTAAAGAGAACTTAGTAATTGATATCCATATTTTGAGTAATGAGTTGCTTAGTAATTGATAACCATATTTTGATGTGTAGAGACCACAAAGAAGAAAGACAGTTTTCTTCTTTGGTCCTTTGCATTCACACAACCCATCCTTTCTCCCATTGTTGGTACATCTAGTGATCTTTTTGCTTTCTACCATTGTATAGGTCAAGTAGGACTGAGGGAAGAGATGCTAGAATATGCATGTTAGACAGGAGGGGCAAAGCTGACATTGAGGTTTTGCAAGTGCAAACCCATACATGTGAATACATAGATAACCACTCAAAGAACATTATACATGTAAGCAACCTGTGTTTTACACTAGTTGGCTTGAATCTCAAAAGCAACATGAGTAACTTACTATATGATGGGTATTCTTATGTTTTTTGTCATTATATATCACTTATCTAGTTTTAGTTGGGAATAAAAAAAGTAGAGTTTGGGTTATGTATTTTGGGTTATTTCCACAATTACATTTTAACTATTGAGTGAAAACTAACTGTTTCAAAATTAATTCAAGTAGTGTTGACCTGCCTCTCTGCAGACATGAGCAAAGGCTGTTCTACACTGGATTATTGAGTACTTCTACATGAAATTAAAAGTTGAATGTTCTATGAATTTTCATTTAGATTCTCTGTGGAAAAGAGATTCCTCGTTGGGTGAATCGCCTTGCCTATTTCAGTTCCTGTATCCCCTTTCTCCAAAGTTGCCTTCCAAAAGAGTGGCTTACACCTGCAGCCCTTCAGTCAAGTGTAAGCCAAGAGCTTCAAGAAGAACTGGAAGAAGCAGAAGACGCTGCAGCATCAGCTTCCCTGCCAAATTCAGCATCAGGGGCACGGACTGGACATCATACTAAAATATAGGTTTGGGCCAAAGTACTGTTACATTAGAGTCTTCTAAAATCTTGTCAGTAACTGACTTCATTGCTGAACTTCAGAGTGTGGACATTTGGATATGTCTATGGTATGCAAGTGGTTCTCCAGATCAAAACCATGTTTTTTTGCTCAGGATTTTATATGTAGTGAAAAAGGTTTCTGGGAGAAATGAGAAGTACATAAGATGGAGTTGCGGTCTTCATTTTCATCTAATCAACAAACTTGGACCAACTGAGCAGAAGAGAAGCTGTTTACAGTATTGTGTGCTGCTGTTTACAAGTCCCACAGGGATATCTGCCATTGAAATACAAAGTATTAACCAGTTCAGTCAGGCCTTCATCATATCATTGGAAGTGAACCTGTGGTCTACTTTCACTGATTTTTGTCTTGGAACTCATTTGGTTAAAATATTTCACTTCCAACTACTGCTAATAGTAGAACACAGAATTGAATACTGTATGTAAACAGGGTACATCCTGAATCCTGCTTTATAATCCTAACTAGAGTAGACCCACTGGATCAACTTCACTAGTGAATCAACATGTAGATAAATCTCAGTCTAATCTAAGTAGGACTTAACAATAGGATTCAGGCCATAACGATCAATACAAAGAAATCTATCCTAGGAAACAGATTGCATCTGCTTACGAAGAGCAAATTACAATTTTATTACAAACTCAAACATATTGTTGGCTTCAATCACAATCTTTTCCTCTTCTTTTTTGGTCTGACTTGAAGATACGAAAGATCACTTGGAACATCAATAGTTTTTTTTTTCAAACTATGACCAGGTAACAATGCCTATCTCATGTTGTTTAAAATGTAGAACTGTAGGATGAAAGAAGATGGAACACACAATCAGTTTCCTGCAGCATTGGACATCAGCCCACTAATAATAATCTCTTAGCTAACGTCAGTTTGGCCAATTCTGCACCCGGTTCAATCAACAGTTAATTGCTGGTCAGAGGTAACATTTCTTGAGTGAAAGGATTCTTTTCAACTTAGTTTGTCTCTAGCAGAGCGGTTGATAGCTATGGTTGCCTTGAGATTTGTTTGTGTGCTGCCACCATTTATTTAATTATGTTAGTTTACAACAGCAATATAGACTGTATGAATGATAAAAGATCTATAGGATTTAGCAAGAAACAAGATGAATTCCTTATATTTACTGCCTTCCCCATCTTTTATCGAGAGAGAGTACAGTAGTTATGGCAAACTGGAATTTGGCTCAGATTTTAATTACATATGCTGCCTTAAAGATCTTCCAATTCAATGGAAAGAAGCCAACTGGAAATGATGTACAAAATGACATTTTACAGAAATCTACATAACTGAATATATAAATAACACTTGCATTTGTTATTTATATTGCTGGATTTGCTCAATGAACTGTGCCAATTTGAATATTTATATACCCAATCAGCCAAATTGGACAGTATTTTTTGACAAATCAGAAGACATTATGTTTCATCAATTGGCAGTAAGATTTGGTTCTATAAACAATTTCTCCAAAGGTGGCAAAAATGCTGTTGTTTTTCAGTAATAATGGCGGTTGTCATTTTTCTAACCACATCACTTCCTATTTAAATTTATTTTATGCTCTTCTTTGTGGGAGACATTTTTGTTTCAAAATATTCTCAGGTATGTAACATTCTGTTAAAAGTCAAATAATAATTCTAAAAAATGTGAAGTACTGAGATTATTTCATATTTAAATCTTCTTTAAGACTTTAATCTTCTTGAGAACCATGCTTAATTAACAGTGCCAGAACCATTTTTATTTGATCATTAGCATAACCTTTATTGTTACTTCCAAAAGATATCCAGTTTCTTTTGGAAATAACTGGGTATCTTTCAGCCTTACCTTGCTTGTTCTTCAACTGACCATTACTATTCCGAGAGTTGTATCCTACTCTATTTCTAAATCATACAAACGAGGTGTCTGAGTGGAACATATGTAGGTCAATAGAAGTGGTTTCTCAACACTACAATGAAACCATAAATAGTTTTCAGCTTGGGTCTGAAGCTATTAGTGAATATTGGTTCTGATCCTGAGCCTGTGTGTGCTACTGTACACATGATGTTCTTACCTGTAAAAAAAATCCGTTAATTTCAGTGGAAAGGGCAGCTTCGCACATGTTTTTCTTGGCACATAGGAAATTATCTCTTTTGAAGTGAATGCGTAGTCTTTGTGGGTACTCTATGAAGATGCTGCATCCTCACAAGATTCTTGAATTGTGTTGGGAGTTGGGGATTCTATAGCTTGTCCTACGTTGTTTGGACAAACTTTAGGAACTTGATTTTCATCTAAATTTTTACAAAACAATTGGCTTTCAGTTAATATTCACAGCACTCCACAACACATCCATCCTTTTGTAATCATGCACAGCATATAATGCAACACCATTTATAGCACGGTAAGTAAAATAATTGAAGTAATTAATTGTTCCAGTTTGTTCAAAAAATCCTGTTACTTCATTTTTAATCAATTTTTATAGTTTGTGTCACCGAACAAACTTACCGTCTGGACCCTGAAGTCAATATTTAGCATCATTAAGTAGTGCGATGGTATTTTTGTATCTTACCATATACACTACAGTCACTATCCACTCGGTTCCTTAAAACAAACAACCCTGCCAAAGTCTGCTCTCATAGCAATAGTTCAAGTTACTTTTCACCAGCATTAGTACTCAGTAAAGAAGTACCTTGCCTGCCAGTGGCCATAGTGTGCATTAAAAAACTTGAACAATGTTCTATGCTAAAATAGTCAATACCTGGAATTTTAGCAACAAGCAGGTAGAAGAAGTGCATTCAGGGTTCTCCGATCTCCCAATTTCTAATATTTAATTATTTTTCTTTTAAGGTAGATTACTATAGTCATTTTGTATGTTATCTTATTAAAGCCATTTTATCAAGATGTCACTCTTATTCAGGAAGCCAAAAATTGCTATAAATTGTCAGTGTACATCAGTAGACTGGGTAATGGTTCAGTATTAAGAATGCAGTGGGTTTCCTCTTAGAAACATGCAATACAATTCTGATCACAACGGATAAGAGAATTTTCACTTTAAGGTGGTTACAGATACTGAATTTTCACTGACACTTTTTTGTAAACTAAAGATAAGTTTACTGTAAAGCATAGTATTTGTATAGCCAGAGAACTTTGACTTTTGTTACTTTGACATGTCAAACCTATTACAAACTTGAATCCATCCATTTATTAAAGATAATTTTGTAAAAAAAAATGGCATGTGTTGTTCTTGTCAACTTGAATATTAACTTTCAATCCAGTTTTTTTTATTAAATCCATTCTATTACTTGAATCAAAATACAGACAGTGCTTGAACCGGAAAAACCTCACTGCACAGGAGGCTTGTGGCTGGAAGAGGTTGCCTTCCCTCTGTTATATGGGACCAGTTCATGGAGTCAAGAGGGACGTGATATCTAACACCTGGCCACAGCACAAGAAAGCTAGAGGAGATGAGAAAGAGCAAATTCAAGGATTGGAAAGCTCAAGTCTGAATCTGGAGATCTAAGAAAGAATAAGAGAGAGGCTAAAAATAATGGTTGAAGAAAAAAGATCCAAGATCAAATACAGAAACAGTACTGGAAAGAATAGAAGGTGTACCAGAAAGACCCAACAGTCATGCAATCTAGATTCATAAGCAAGCTACGAGTTCAAAGCACAGGGTAGTGTAATTTGCACTATTAGGCAAAACCCTTCTAACAGATAGGGCTTCAGGTGTTCCTTCAGGTGTTCCTTGATATACAGCACTAATTTCCTTCCCTTAGGCTAACATTTTTTACCCCAAATATCTGGAAGACTCCACTAAGTGCTGAAGAAGATTCCTAATATTATTTCTATATATGGAAATGTAATTTGTGACCATAACTCATATATCATTTTTGGAAACACAATTTAAATTGCTAGGCAGAAAAACTTGCAAAAACCTTTCAGGGATGAAAGGTGTTTCCCATAATTGCAGAGGTCACAGTAAATAGCATTCTGAGTTCCTGTCTGTAGGCAATGATATGACCTTGATACAAGGGGTTGCTGATAAATCTTTGGCTTTACATAGAAAGAAACGAGATAGGAAGATGAAACTTTACATTTATTCCACATACTCTCCACTGATATCAACACACTTCTTACATTAGTATTCCAAGCTCAGTAAGCCTTGCAAAAAGAAGGATTTCAGTTGTGCCTCAAACCAGTCATCCGTAGCAGCCATGGCATCAGACATGGTGTAAAATTTAGTACCCTTGAGGTGTTTCTTCAGGTTTGGAAACAGATGATAGTCGGAGGGAGCTAGGTCCAGTTAATCAGGTGGGTGGTCAACCAGGTGGCAGCCTAGCTCCACCAGTCTTGCCATAGTTGCTTGTGCAGTGTGAGCAGAGGCATTGTCTTACAGGAACAGGATTCCTTTGGACAGCTTGCCGTGCCTTTTGGCCTTCAGAATTACCTTCAATTGGTCCAAAAGTTCAGTGTAATACCTTGCATTGATGGTGGAACCATTTTGAAGGTAGTCCACTAGTAGCATGCCCTCCTTATCCCAGAACACAGAACATCACCTTAGTGGCTGATTTTTGGCACCCTGAACTTCTTTGGACGAGGAGAACCACTGTGCCTCCACTCCTTTGACTGCTCCTTGGTTTCAGGGACATACAAATAAATCCAGGTCTCATCAATAGAGACCAATCGATCCAGGAAGTTCTTATCAGCCCGGAAACACTGCAAATGGACCAGGAAGTTTTCACTCGTATGCTTTTCTGATCTGTTGTGTCAAACATATGGGGACCTGCTTTGCAGATAGCTTCTTCATGTTCAAATGTTCATGGATAATGACAAACACGTTCACGAGAAATCACCATGATGTCTGCTACTCCTTTAGCTGAAATTTGCCGATTCTCCAGTATGAGGTTGTGCACAGCATCGACGATCTCTGGAACAGCAACCACTCTTGGCCGTCCAGGACGTTCCTCATCATTGCTGCTGAAGTAGCCCATTTTAAATTTGGCAACCCAGTTCTTAACTGTAGAATATGAAGGGCATTGATCCCCCAATGTCTGTGACATATCACCATGAATATCCTTTGCAGACTTTCCTTGCAGAAACAAAAATTTTATCACTCCTCTGCTCTCATTTGCTGTGAACATTAAGTAGTAATTCTATTGTTTGGATAATATGTTAATTGTTAATTGTTGTTACGTTATTGCATTGAATTATTGCTGTTTTTACTGGTTGTGAACCGCTGTGAGTCGCCCTCGGGCTGAGAACAGCGGTATATAAGTAAAGTAAAGTAAATAAATAAACATCACCTTACACTCCGACATTTTGTTTTCCCGCATGCCTAGATCACTGTTGCCACAAGCTACAAACACAAAATTTTGAAAACATATATTAGACACATAAAGCTTTAATGTGATGTAACATTCGTTACCATAGAAACAAAAAAGAACACAAAGCCAAAGACTTATCAGCAGCCCCTCGTATACAGTTCTTATTTTCTTGACTGCTGATTTAGGCTATGAAGTTTGTTTTCTTTAAAAATTATCTCAGGTTATGGAGATAGCTAAATATACCCCATTGGGTTCCAAAATAAGTGTTTTTAAAATAGGTTCTGATTCTATAAAGTCAGACATAAAGTTATTGTTGCTCTTGCAGTATTTCTAGACCACTGGAGATGCTCAACAGTGGAACTCGCTGCTTCAGAGTGTGGTGGAGGCACCTTCTTTGGAGGCTTTTGAACAGGTTTAATTACCATCTGTCTGGGGTGCTTTGATTGTGCCTTTTCTGCATGGCAGGGGGTTGGGCTGGATAGCCCATGTCGTCTCTTCCAACTCTATGATACTAAGTAATTTATGGCAGCTGTAAAAAAAAATCTATAATGGGGATTTTTTGGCAGGGTTTGTTCAGAGGTGGGGTTTACTTTTGCTTCCCTGTGAGGTTAGGAGTGTATGACTGGATATCTTTAACCTAACAGATTTCCATGGATTTGAACCTTGGTCTCCAGAGTCATACTCCAGTGTTCAAACCACTACACCACACTGGATCTAAAATGATTACTTCACTTTAGTCACTTAGACAATGTGTTCTTCAGCTTTCGTGCTGATCACATCTTTTCTAATTGTCTCTATTCGTATCTTAAGAATACAGAAACACTATTTGTTTTGATTTTACTTAATTTAATACATGCTGCAATTCTCTGATCAACTACGTAACTATATAACTCTTAGTTATGTAGCTAAGTAACATATCCTAACTCGACCCAAACACTCTGGATTTACTACACAGCTGCTGCTTTGTGTGACAAGTCTGTTCTGTTGATCAGGTCACAGCTAACTTGACATTTTCAATAACCTCCCCCCCCCCCCCCCCCCCCCCCCAGCAATCTCTTGTGCAACAGTCAGAACCAGGATTCCTTTCATAATTTCCCCTCACATCAGAAATTGCTTGCAGAAGGGCAGAGATATATCAGCTGCACC